AGCAGTCCTTATTTGGAGCTTTTCAGGTATTCTTGAACAGCCGGGGACACTGAACTTTGTTCTATTATTTCTAAGTGGATTTGTGGAGGTTTATTTGCGACTGTGATATCTTCAGTGTAAGTCACACTAACTATAAAAAAAACATGTGTTCCATGTCAACGTGTGCAGATTTGACTTTGTTGTGACTTCTTACTAATACTGTTATTTCAACTACTACGACCACTACAGCTACTACTGATGCTACTACTGATGCTACTACTTCTTCTAATGCTACTAATACTTCTACTAAAGTTAATACTACGACTACAACTACCACTTCTACTACTATTACTGCTACAACTACCACTACTGCTACAACTACCACTACTGCTACAACTACCACTTCTACTACAACTACCACTTCTACTACAACTACCACTTCTACTACAACTACCACTTCTACTACAACTACCACTTCTACTACAACTACCACTTCTTCTAATGCTACCACTTCTTCTAATGCTACTACTACTGATGCTACTACTTCTTCTAATGCTACTAATACTTCTACTAAAGTTAATACTACGACTACTGCTACAACTACCACTTCTGCTACAACTACCACTACTACTACTACAACTACCACTTCTTCTAATACTACTAATACTTTTACAACTAATAATATTTATAGTACAACTACCACTTCTAATACTACTACAACTGCTACTACTATTACTGGAACTACTAATACTACAACTACTACAAATGCTATTACTACTAATGCTAGGGGCCATAGGGCCAATAAAGCTGATTCTGATACTGAGAAGAAGTATGAATTTTGACTAAAATAACTATAACAATCAAAGCCTCCACTCTTGATTTCACTCTCCCTGCCACACACACACACACACACACACACACACACACACACACACACACATTCAGTGAGCAGACCATGTGCTTCATCCTGTCAGCTGTGTGTTTGCAGAGGTCACAAAGTCATGTGCGGTTCTCAGGTTTCTCAGCCGCCCCTCGGCCCTCACACATACTGTACATATCACCATAGCTACGGCTGTGATGTATTGCCTGTGGCAACATCAGGCTGTACATGTGTATTACAATTTCAGCAGTTCAGGACGAGAAGTTAAAGCTGCTTACAACTTGATTTTATGGAGAATTATATTGACATTTGCGGTTTATTTTGCAAGATTTCCCTTTTGTCAAACTACAATTTCTGCACGTCTACACGTTCACGCTCTACATTCAGTGAGCAGACATATTGAGTGTGATGAATAGTTAGCTGATATTATTATGATTTAATAGTTTATCTCCTAAAATTTGCTCATGAAATAGTGTACATAAACATTTTTCAGGTGCATGAAACATACAACAAATACGTAGCATAGCTTTTATATAAATCACTCTGTATACAAACAATCGAATATATAATCATTACAATGTATAGCCTCTCTCTCACACTAGCGTGACTCAAAAAATCATCCCTCCTCACATACACGCACGGTACACACTTCTTGACGATGATAAACATGTTGGAAGTGATTTTTCCATCTGCCTTTCCTTCCTTCCACCATCTGCCATCGCCAGCAACTCTGGGAGATTCAGCTCTGTTTGGGTTAGAAGAATAGCAGCCTCCTTGTCCTCTTCCCTCTGCTCCTCCCTCCTCCTCCTACCTCCTTCGTCTCTACGCTGCAGAGAAATCATTCATCCAAATCTGGCAAGGCTTCCCCTCATGCACTCTGTGCGTTGTACATATACCATGTTTGACTAAACATTTATACAAGTGCATCATGTAATCAGAACGAAGTGCAACAACAAAGCAAGTGATTGAACAAACCAATTAAAAATCCAGCGTTGGGTGGCGAAGAGTAATACTTCACTCTGCAACATAAACTCTTCTAAATAGTGTTTTAAAGCCGTGTTCAGTTTGTCTCCGTCTGTCAATCAGCTGTGGTAGACTCACGGGCACGCTGAGGGATGAGATTAAATATAGTCTGTAAAAACCGCCTTTTATCTGATGTTTTGGTTTCCCTCAGTCGGGATACTCGTTTGTGTGTGTTTGATTGACAGTGTGGGTTCTTGAAATTTCCAGTTGGTGTTTCACCACAAAAATGGTCTATTAATATTTGATGGGTGAAGAAAAGAGGCGCGCTTCTCTTTCATAGTCTTTGTGAAGAGAGATTTCAAGTTTGAAGGGACGTGGGAGAGCAGAAAAACCTTTTAGAGCTACGAGGACCAGAGGGGAAGAATTTACATTAAATCTGGTCATAATTTCATACGTTCAAAAAAAACTAGATAATCTACAGTGCAACAGGACTGCTCTGTTGTAACACGCGTAACGTGAGGCTGTCAGTTTAGTACATAGACGTCGATTGATAGAAGAGACGTTTCAGCTCTTTAAATGAATAAAACAGGAGAAACCCAGAGGAGACAGATGGAGGTGCTGTTTGTCCAGTGGAAGAGTGGCGCCATCCACAGTTTAAGACTTTAAACGGCATTTTGTTCCACAGTAATAAGAAGCTGATGTCTGGCTTGTTCTGCACAACTTAAAGTGTCTTTGTAAGAATCAAAACGGCTTCAATCCTTCTTCCTGACACGGATTCGAGATCCAATGCAGACCGTCATTCAAAGTGTTTGAGGGGTGACCGATAATACAGTTCAACTACAAACGGTAAAGAAACTGGAGACTGAATAAAAAGAGCAAATCAAATAGATATATGCAATAAAATCATTTAAATCAAGATATTTGTCATTGGATAATGGTAGAAATCGCTGTAATCAGAAGCACATGATACACACTGTATATCATCATATAGAAAAAAAAATACATTGAAATATTCGAAACACTGCTTTGAGAAAACATGTTTGACTTGCAGCCAGATTGGAGAATGGTGCTTTGAAGACAACATCATCAACGTGCCTCAACTCCTCCAGATCAGAGGACTCTCCATCTGAGTGGAAGCAATGGGCCTTCAGCATTACTTCATGCTGTTGCAACAGTTATCTGCACCACATTGTCTCTTAATAAAAAAAGGGAGCTGGTGCTGTGATATTATACAGTTTGAACATAAAGTCAGTTCCCCATCTCGTCTGATCAGAAATGCCTTCAGATGAGCTCCTTCACTGTTTTATGGGTATATGAGTGAATATAAGACCTCTTTTCTTTCTGCTTTGTTTTGATTGCAATGAGCAGTGGATCATTTTGAACATGTTACTGTTCTGCTGTGGAGGTTGAGGGGAACCAGGTGAAGCTGATGTCCCCTGATTAGTGACTTCATGCCACTTGGAAACATCAGGACACTGAAAAAAAAACAAAAGCATTAAAAAAAGCTTGCACTGTCGCTGAGAAGAAATAATCAGAAGAGTTGTTTTCTAATCTGACACTACTGTGTTGTTAATAGCAGCACCTGAGGGACGATTTGAGGGAAAACAGCTGCTCAAAATGACTGAACGTAAACAGAAAGTGACTCCAGAGAGGAGGACGTTTAGCCTCAATGGAGTCTGGTGGAGAAGTCCGGCGGGGGACAATATGATGCTGTCACTCTGCCACCATGAAGGACAGTGGACTTCCAGTACATGATGAGCGCTTCAAATGCTTTTTGCCTCCATGCTGCATGCTTTGATTGCAGCCCATTAGCAACATCTCATGGTTGAGTAGAGCAACAGCAGCAATATTCTGTAAACGTTTTGCTTTAAAGGAGCTGTATCTGACATTTAGAGCATTAACATAGCAGCAAAAAACGATTATAAATGTAAAGATATAGTAGTTTGCGCTGGTAGCCCCGTTAGCTATGAGTCGCCAGCTCGCCGTCGACATGTTGAGAGCCGTTGAGAGGCAATCGAAATGCTCCCAATCTCAGCACCTTTAAGTACATGCTGAAAAACACAAAGCATGGACATTTAATAAAATCATAGCACCTGAGACGAAGCGAGACAGCTTTAAGACGTTCATGTTGACATGTCTCTAAAAATGGAGAAAAAGCACGAAGTGATGTGACAAATATTAACAATATTAAAAATTAACAATATCAGATGTAAATCAGTCGGTTGTAACTTCACCTCCAGGTTGTGATCCGTCAGAAGTCCTCAAACTCGGGCTCACAAAAGTTGATAAGTGCAAAATCATGGTGTGTGTGCAGAAAGTAGGATTTTGCAGTCAAACACATGCAGCGACTACTTTCTCATTGGCTCAGTTGAGTTTATAAGTAACAGTGTGTGTGCGAGGTCCAACGAGCGGCATGCGTGTTTTTACCTGATTTGGAAAATGTCTGATCTTTTGGTTTAATCAGCAATCCACGTGTTCAAACTATGATGAAAACACGTTGAAGAGTAACGGAAGACGTGATGAAGACTCTAACTTTTGCACTTAATAAAACAACTGAAGACATATGATACTGACTAAAATGAAGAGATAGTAAAACTAAAGATTTTGTAATACAGTTGGAACTTGAAAGAGCCATGTTATCTGTTTAATCCACATTTAACAATCATGCTGTGAAAAGTTTTAAGGCATTTTATTGTTTTTAGTTGATGCTGTGTTTTCATAGTAAATCCTAGAAACAAAAATAAATCCATGTGCTCCCATCACCCTATTGTTCATTTGAAAACCAGAAATTCATGGTTTTGTCATGGCATTCACAATTTTAATGCAGGTTAAGATTTGTTTAAAATAAAATAAAATGTAATATATCAGTTTACAATGCGATTATCCTCAATCACTCAAATGCTGTTCGTATTTTCATAAACGCACTACCTCTAAAATACTATAACTTCATGTTAAACATAAACACAATATCCATAAAGGGAAATTATTTTGCTTTTGTGCACAAATAATTGAATTTGATCCAGTAAATTAGATTCCGTAAACAGCACCTGATCATCATCCTCCTCTGCGTGTTTTTCCTCCTCCACCGGGTCGAACCCCGCTGTGGGCGGAGGATCCCTCCCCTCTTAAGAGCCTGAGGACCCTGCCGGTCTCCAATCAGTCCGGGACTCAAATCCCCCACAACTCTCCGCTGCAGAGACAAACTGGGAGACAACACGGAGGAGATCAGCCGCCCGGCAGGTGAGTCTCATGTTAAAGATATATTGAAACGGGCCAGTGTTTGTGACATGCAGTATTTATTAACTCCTGTCACTGCTGTTGAATATTTGAGTAATATAGGACATGACAGAAGAATTTCAATAAATATTCTAAGAATAAGAAGCTGAAAAAATACATTGGAAACTTGATTATATTCTCACTTGCTGTTAAATAACTTGCATAAAGCACAGCGACCGTGTATTTGGTCATATTTTGCATAAAACATGTATAAAAACCACACAAACTTTATATGATACTTTCAGTACCACAAAAAGTGCATTTGAAGTATAAGAATACTAGATGAATCGCAATTAAAAAAGAAAAAACATAAACTATATAAAGAACTATAAATATGTTCTAAGAATATGTTCATGGTAAAGAAAAGTGAGCAGACGTCTTAGGGGTTCAGGACATTTATTACATTTAGGTTTCTTCACAAGACAAAACATGTACAAAAATTAAAATGCATTCAAATTCCACGTTTTGCATTGAAATCATAAGGTTGAGAGCATAGAGAATCCCTTTGTTATAGAATCGTCTTGTAAAAAGCTGTAGCTATAATTTAACTTTTAAAAATCTCCCTGCAGGTCCAACTTGTTTGACAGGAGTGCCCAATAAGCTATAGATGCTTTAATGAAACTGCAAATGACAAAACCCTCTGTTTGCATTCCCTTCAAAACTTAAATCAATATTGACTCTAATGTATTCTGGTGAGGAAATTTCACTAATGCTGCCGTTCCCACCAGTGAAATATTTTCATGCTGCCTGCACTGGGCCAAAATAAAGCGAATGAAGCTGTGTGAGATTTTCCAAAGATTTGTATTCATGCGGTCGGCCCCAGCTGTCCTATAAAGATCGGCACGCTGTGCTCAGCAACAAACACCAGCCCCGATGCAGGACCCTCATACTACCATGAGTCAATCAAGGCTGATAGAAGAGAAAATAAAGCTAGTTATTACCAGAGAGCAGCTGGGATGGGATGCCCCACTTCTACAGTTATCACAACACTCACAACCTTTTATTCTCAATAGTTTCCATTTCACCAGTTTGGTCTCCTAAGGCAACTAACTTTTTAAACTTTTTGATTGAATCTCGACTTTTACTTGATGGACCAAAGTATAAAAAGCCTTAGAGATCAAATGTCTCAAACTTGGTTAGAGGAAAGAAGAATCATTTTGTTTACACATTTGTGTTTGTTGCAGGATCCAGATGAGCATGAGACCCAGCGATAATGCACCGCCATTTTGCAGGCTGCCTAGTCGCAGCCAGCACTGATTCCCACATCTGAGGGTCACTACAAAGGAACAAGGAACATTCATCTCAGACTTCTGCTTGCTGACTGCTTTATACAGTATATATGACAAAGTGCAGATAACTGTATGTGATGATTTTGTTGCTCAGCTGAATAACACTTTTTGGCACCATAAAAACAAGCCTGAGCCTGTGAATTAGTGGACATTTTAGTGCTTCTGCACTGAAATTTTATATTTAAGGTCATAACTAGATACAAAACCGTGCTAGTCTTAAAAAAAACCTGCAGCAGTTAGTTTGTTCTGTGCTGTCAAAGAGCTAAAAAAGTGCTCGAACATGGCTGCCGCCGCCACCATGGAAGTGGTGGACATCATCGTCGTAGTAATCTACTTCATCCTGGTGCTGGTGATCGGTTTCTTTGCCATGCGGAAAGCCAATCAGGGCACAGTGAGCGGCTACTTCCTCGCTGGCCGCTCCATGAATTGGGCGGCTGTGGGAGCGTCTCTGTTCGTCAGCAACATAGGGAGCGAGCATTTCATTGGACTTGCAGGATCGGGTGCTGCTAGCGGGTTCAGCGTGGCTGCATGGGAATTAAATGCTCTATTGCTGCTCCAGCTGTTGGGCTGGATATTTATCCCCGTGTATATTCAGTGTGGAGTCTACACCATGCCAGAATACCTGTCCAAACGGTTCGGTGGGAGCCGACTGAAAGTGTATTTTGCAGTGTTGTCTCTCATCCTGTACATCTTCATCAAGCTGTCCGTAGACCTCTATGCCGGGGCCTTGTTCATTCAGGAATCCTTAGGGTGGGACCTCTATATGTCCATCATCCTCCTCATCACCATGACGGCTTTGCTGACAGTCACTGGAGGCCTGGTCGCTGTCATCTACACGGACACGGTGCAGGCTTTCCTCATGATCGCCGGAGCACTCTGCCTCACCATCATCAGCCTCTTCAAAGTGGGAGGACTTGAAGGTCTCTATTGATCTCCTTTATGCAACGAAGTTAAACCCATAATACATCAATTAAACTGCAATTTGATCTGCATGCTATACCTTTTGCTAAACTGTGTCATTTTTAAGGGGTGTGGACCAAGTACATGCAGGCTTCTCCAAACATCTCCGCCATCTTGCTGTCTTCACCCAACCTGACGTATTCTGAATCCTGCCACCTCGACCTCCACCCGAAGCCAAATGCTCTGAAGTTGCTTCGAGGCCCGACAGATCCAGACTTGCCTTGGCCCGGTTTCCTACTGGGCCAGACTCCTGCCTCTATTTGGTACTCATCCAAGTCTGTCCACGTAGACTGTCTTCCTAACTGCTTCAGTTCCTTGTCGTCAAGCTGGTACAGAACAACAGTGAAACTATATTGAGATTGCCATGAGGTTCTCTGAGCACATCCATGCTTCCCAGAGAAGTTCTTGGCAATCCGTCTAATAGTTATTTTGGACCAAAGCGGTCTGACCGACATCCATAGAGCCACATGTTTACAAGTGTCCCTACACTATCAGTATGCCTGATCTCTGCCCACAGAGTCAGTACAAACAGGACAGGTAATAAGAGGTGACCCGGTCTCCTTGCTGTAATGCTTTCTAAAGGACTAAGCGTTAACGTCCTCCCTTTGTGTTGCAGGTACTGGTGCACAGATCAAGTGATAGTTCAGCGGGTTTTGGCAGCGAAGAACATTGTCCATGCCAAAGGTTCGACTATCATGGCTGGCTTTCTGAAAATCCTCCCCATGTTCATCATCGTCATCCCAGGTAGAGCCATTCATTGCTTTTGAAGCGACTCACATTTTAAGGATTGGGCTGATTGGATAACTGATTCATGCATCATGACGATTACAGGGATGATTTCCAGGATCTTCTTTGCTGATGAGTTGGCGTGCATCAGCCCAGAGCACTGCCTAGAGGTGTGCGGCTCCGCGACCGGCTGCAGCAACGTGGCTTACCCACGGCTCGTCATGTCCGTGATGCCCGTCGGCCTCCGCGGCCTGATGATGGCTGTCATAATCGCAGCTCTGATGAGCGACCTGGACTCCATCTTCAACTCCGCGAGCACCATATTCACGTTGGACATTTACAAGATGCTGCGAAAGCAGGTGTCATCCAGGGAGCTGGTGATGGTCGGCAGGTTGTTTGTGGTTTTCATGGTGATCGCCAGCATCGCCTGGGTGCCGGTCATCATCGAGATGCAGGGAGGCCAGATCTTCTACTACATCCAAGAAGTAACCGACTACCTGACTCCACCCGTAGCTGCGATCTTCTTGCTTGCCGTGCTGTGGCATCGCTGCAATGAGACGGGGGCCTTTTGGGGCGGGGTGGTGGGGTTTGTCCTCGGAGCGGCGCGTCTGATTTTGGCGTTGGTTTACCGCGAGCCTCGCTGCGACCAGCCCGATGAGCGGCCATCTTTCATCAAAGATGTTCATTTCATGTATGTGGCAGCCATCTTGTTTTGGACGTCGGCTTTGGTGACCGTAGTTGTGAGTCTCTGCACCCCTCCGCCCAGAAAAGAACAGATCAGAAGCACCACACTGTGGGGGTTAAACAAGTGGAAGGGATTAAAACATGGCGATCATAAAAATGCCCAACCAAGCAACAATCATGCTATGGAAGCCAGTGACATAGAAACGCACCTTCACTCACCGATTTCTGACCTTAAAATGGTAGACGAGGGAGAAGGGGGAGGACTGAGGGTTGGAAAGGAGGAAGAAGGAGGATGCCTTGGAGGAGGAGTGGAGGGTGGGAGGTGTATGAAGGCTTTGGTGTGTCTCTGTGGCTTCAAGGAGCAGCCGACCGAAGCTCAGGTCATCACTGTCCAGGAACAGGAAAAGATTGTGGATGAGCTTCTCCATGAACCTCCTCGAACCAGAATCCTCCTGAACACAGCTCTGGTGGTGATCTGCTCTGTCGGCATCTTTCTCTTTATATATTTCTCCTTATAGGCTCCTTTTAATTCCAAGCAGTGGGACACGTTTGTGCATAAACTACAAGCTGGAATGGTCTGCAGGTAAGCTATCCTTCAGTTTGAAAGAGCATCGTGAACAGGCTGTTTTCTCTCATGAGAACATTTAAAAGGCCTCTAACAGTTATGGCTTCTGTTCGTCCTTTTTGTGTTTCTTTTCCCGAACAATTGCATCTGGAAGTTCAGTGTGCTTTAAACTTTTGCAAATGGCCGTCCATCGATCATAGATGGTGAGTTTGAAAGTTACAGAAATCGATGCAGCACAGTGCTTTGTTTTAGGTGTACTAACACCCTTTTAGGAGACACATAGTCTTTACTACTGCAGATAATATTGCATTTTAAGTTCCACTGAATATGAAATAAATTATTCCTCTTTTTACAGGGCACTATCGGGAACCAGGTCAACAGTACAGAGGTTCACAAATCTCTGCCTTTTAGGAGATTGTTGCAAATGTTTGGTGGTGGTACGGCTCGCTATGGTGGTGGTAATTATTAACACTCACCATTGGATTTCAGGGCTTTGAATAAGTTCTTTCCTCATTGGCTGTAAAGTTAACTGTTAACTGATGCTTGTATGGTGTGATCTTTCGTCCCCTTCCCGCATAACACCAAAGAAATTACTGCTGAACTTCACACCGTTAATCCCGCAGTTATCTCCGAACGGAAAAAGTACCAAACCGGTCATTCTAGTCCACTGACAATTCCTGCCATCATCTGTATAAACACCACTGTCTCTTCAGACATCTACAAGACGGATTGGAACAACTTTTGGGACAAACACTCAATGTTTCCAGAGGATGAATCCTTTAGCAGGCTAACACGCTGAACTAAAGCATTAAAAATGGTTCATTTTATACCTGCTTAGCTAAACATCAGCATGTGAGCATTGTCATTGTGACCGTTATGCCCTCAGTTTGTAAAGCTGGTTTTCTTTTATTAAACTTTTCCAAAATACAAATGTTGGCTTCCTTTCAATGCTGTCTTATCTATTTCTCTTTCCCAGAGAAGCATGTGCAGGGCTTTAGTAATTTACAAAAGCATGAGACGGCGTTGGTGTTTAACGACAGACACATCTGACAACAAGTCAGTAACGTAGTCTTTAAAATTTTGCAATCTTTATGAGAGACTGCTTGATTCTGATTGGCCAGAAAGTGTGCATTATTATAGTAGCTCAGAGTGCATTGATGTTATTATATGACTATCAGTGGCCATGTTATAAACACTTGTCTGTAAGATTACTATAAATAATGCAATACCACTGATATTTAGTGCTGATTCATGCGATTTATAAGATATATTTTGGAAGTTGTACCCATGCAGCTGCATGTATTGCTGTTAGTTGTTCACTGGAAATCTCTATATGAGCTACAATAGAATGCAGTGTAACAGGTGAGCTGTATAAACACAAAGTTGCTCTTCAACAGCAGCTTTGACCAAGCCACTGTCTACACTTCCTGTGTGTGTGAGGGAGGGAGGGAGGATAAAATGAACGACCCTTGTGGTTGTGGGTTTCAGTTTAAAACCAACAACATGCTCAGAATTCATGTGGTGTTTAATTTTGGTAGACCACCACCCGAAAACAATAAGGTGAGCCACTTGATGATATAAAAAAACCATTAAGGACAAATTTGCATGTCAGATTGTGAGCTGTTTCCAACACGGGCTTGCTAGTTTATATTTGTGTTTAAATATAGTGTGCGGCCTAAACTGAGATGACCCTGATGACATCACTGTGGCATCAACAGGGTTTTTTTCAGAAGACATTAGAAGTTCTCCTTCTGTCGGTAAACTGACCTTTATGAGTCAAATTAGAGTGGATAGACACTCAAACACGATTGCAGCGTTCATCTGCATTTATCTTCTGAATATTCATGAAGAAGAAACTGTTCAATGTGCAATGGCCCTATGCTGAACACGTGAGATCTTTGAACTGGTTCTGAGAATTTGTTTAGTAAATCAATTGAAATATAAAACACACAACGGAGGGCAAAGCAACAGAGTGGAAACTGTTATTATTCGTTTCCACCACAAGTGGGAAGACTTTTTCCAAACCTACCCACAGCCACTGACAGGGCTGAGATCCTGACATGAACTGGGAGTTTCCATTCATAAATACCCCACACATTCAGTGGATACATCTGTTATGAATCCTAAGATGAGAGAGTTATTGATAAAAAACACAAGCGAACGTGGGCAAAACAATGGGGGACCAGGGCAGCAAAACACCGGTATGCTCCAACACCAAAACACAACAGGGCAGGCAAAGAAGAAAAAGTGATGGTGCACTGAAATACCACCACCGTGAGTTAGTAAGGGGAAGGCACATCCAACCAGCAGTTATTACAAATTACCAACATCAACCAAAACCAATGGAAAAGAAGGCAACAAATAACAGCAACTTAAAGTACAAATCAAAAGCTAAACAACAAAATAATTGTGCTGGCAAAGCTAAACTAAAGGCAAAGCATCAGTGGCAACGTCCTAAAATGTGGATATCACAGCCAGAAAGGCATATTAAAATCTTTAATGGTACATAAACAATGTATAAATATCTTAAATATAAATTATTTTAATGGGGCTTGTAATACAATGTACAGTATAGGAATTCCCATATAAATGATTTGCTATTTAGTATCAATATGTAAAAAAAAAAGAGTCATGAAAACAAATTTAGAGGCAAATGAAAATATAAAGAAGGCTACTGATAATCTACACGTTACTGTAGTGGCGATATCGCGACAAACTATGATTAAAGTCTCGCGTTATCTGGATTAACAACATTTCCGATGCGTCGGCCAAGTTAGAGAGTGTTAGCAAGCGGTGGGCCGGAAGTAAGGAAGTTGAATTTTTTTTTAAATGTTATTTGAAGGTCGTGTTACCTGGTAATAGTCGACAATCACCCAATGTGAAATGTGCAACATATGATTAAGACTGTTAAGATATGACTCGATGCACTAGTTATTTATAGATATCGCTTTAAATGCCCTTACCTTTACGAGTTTTAAACGCATATAAACAACAAAACTAGCAACTAGTAAACAAAACATAACATAAACATAATGTGTTTCTGACTGATTTAGCAAAATGCTAATTTTATTATGCAGTTGAAGTTATATTTGTCACATACAGTACATAACATTTTACATTGACTTGTTTGTTGACTTTTATTTTGGCGCGCTACCGGATATACTTTCCTTTGTATTCGAGCTAGCTTAACTAGTGCATGACGGCTTCATCTCAGCTTCAGCTAAAGAGCAAACCGACATCAGCTGAGTTTGCATTAAGTACCATCCTTGTAGCTAAAATACAGGAATTTATCATAACGTAAAATTCAAGATTAGCATTTAACAAAGCTGTTAAACTAATGAGATAACTGTCAGGTATCGTAAATACAGAAACAAGACAGAGGGAAAGGAGACATAACACATCAAACCCGGCTAACAAAGAGGTCCTTTTTTCAACGACAACATTTTTCCTCCATATTCTATAGTTATGAGTCACGTGGCCGTCGAGAATGTCCACGGTCTAGAGCAGCAGGTAAGTCGCGTGAGTTGTCAGTTTAACGTGTCTTGCAGCGTTAGTTGGTGAAATGTGTTATAATCGCCGGTTTAAATGTTAGCTTACCGGCTATAGCCTAAAAGCTAACCGCTAACGAGATGCTAACGTGCTAAGCTAGCGTTGGGTGCGCTTCATTTTTATACCCGTATATGACCACGAGTGGGAACAAACCGTACGATGTGGAAAACATATTTGTTCTTCCGCCTTTTTGATCCGTTTGTTTGTAGCTACGTTTGCTACATCAAGAGTTAACAAAAAATAATTTATGAAAGCTTTAACTGGTGGAGACAAACGACCAATTACGCCCGAGTGGTTCCGTTGGCTGTCCCGTGCAACTATATTAAACGCACCCATCGACTAGTTATCTTCACTGCGTTTGTTCTTGCAGCTTGGTACAATAATAAAATGGAGGTGCAGAGAAACAAACAATGCGGTGTTTTGACCGTTTTAGCCCACTGTCTTGCACATCATTGCATAGTTCGTCTTGACTGCGTCCCGCTTAAAAAAAGACTCATTTCGTCTGCGTCACTAGCAACGTAGTCTAACGTTAGCTGTGTCTGACTGGTCAGACTGTAGGAGGTACTGGATGTTCTCAATAGATATTTTGGGAAGATCTAATCATCACAATGTTTACCAAACATTTAATCAAAAGCATATCGTTTTTTTCAGCTAGGATGCAGCAAATGCTGCAGTGTAAATAAAGGTTTTTATGGAGAAATCAATCCCTCTTATTAGCTGAGTTGAATGTTGCTGCAGAAAAGCATCCTACCCCCAAGACTGAAATTCAGTTTCTGGGAATAAAAGCGTAAATTCAAAAGTTGTCTCTCTGTCACATTGCTTATTCTGACGGATGGTCTAAAAACTCATTGTTTTCTTTCGTTTTAAAGTAGGAAGCAGGTTTTGGGGTCACCTGCTGCAAGAAGAATCCTTCTCTTGACTCCTAACGTGTATAACAAGGCTACATAATGTTGTTTTTCTGACTATTTGTGTGTTTCTCTCCAGCTCGCTGTCCTAGACTTGAGTGCAGCAGACGGACAAGGTGGAGGCCCTAACCGTAAGCAGCAGCCAGAACTTCACATTTTCTCTAGACACTCGCACACCTGAACATTTTACCTGCACACGTAATAAGGCCGCAAACAAGGAAGTACTCCACAGAGAATACATTGGGAAGGCCAAGGGAATATTTTCCCTTTTCAACAATTCTAAACCTCCAATTTAGTTTAAATGTGTCACTGACACAAGAACTAGGAAATGTATATTAGATTTCCATGGTTCCTATCTTGAATGTTGGAGGTGCTTCAAACGTTTTTTAATAATTTAAAATCAAGTCCTTAAATGATGTTGGACACTGTCTCTCTCTGTCTGCAGGGCGATACATTCCTCCACATTTACGGAACACCACGCTTCCAACAATGGTGTGTAGCATCATGTTTAAGCTGTCCTGTGGAGTTTTCTGGTAAACAAACTAAAAAGTTATGTTTACATTTAGATTTGATCACCAAAATACATTGTGTGAATCTTTTTGAGTCCATTTCCTTCCTCCTAAAACAATTGCAAACCGATTTATTCTGGATATCTTGCATTGTTTACGTCCATGTTAGCTAGCTAGCTAGCAGTCGCCTACGCTACGTTTCTTTGCACAAATACATTGGTGGCGTCCAGTTGATCGCGTCGCCCGCATGCTCCATAATGCTACCAGGGGTCAAAAACTCCACAGGGTACCCTCTCCTTAACTGCATTTGTTTCCAGATATAAACCACAACTGAAACACTGTGCTCCTGTTCATCAGGAAATGCCTTTGCTGCTGGTCGACAGGGTGGCTACACCATAGCACCCGCAGCCAACTGTGAGTTCCTCTCTGAACTTCAACTAATCACGCAGTTGCATTTGTTCCTGCCTGTTTATTGTTTTCATTACTGTACATGTTGTTCTGTAGCATTCCTGCTTAAGCACTGCTCATCAGTACGTTTCCTGGTTTATCTCCTCGGTGAAGTGAAGAGTTATTAAGGAATCTGTTATTCTTATTGTGCATTTGAGATTTAAGATTTTTACTCTGTTGATATGACCTGTATCATAATTGCTGCTGTAGCGAAGAAATCTCTCTGTCTGTCTCTCTCTCTGTCTGTCTCTCTCTGTCTGTCTGTCTGTCTCTGTCTCTCTCTCTCTTGTCTGTCTGTCTCTCTCTCTCTTGTCTGT